TTGGTGTTTCTGTCGCACCCGTTACTGTCCCAGACATTGCCGGCCATCCATGCCTCCAACACTAGCCAACTGCCAATATTGGGCCCAACTACTTTTGTTTTACCTGATTTCACATTAGCCAACCTATCCTTCTCGCACTGGCTTTGCGCAGAGATCTGACAAAATACGGCAAACAGTAAAACACTCTTCAATATGAGCGAGAACATTTTGAGACAAAATTAATAATATGCTACTATTATTAATTATAAACTCAACTATTAACACATAATTGATATTAGGTTTGGGTTTATATATACCTATAGAGAAAAACATGATATCGAAAAGCACTTGAAAGTTATCTTATTATATTTGTCTAGAATGTACCAGGATTTATTTGCTCACTAAAAACATCCTAGTTTCAAGCACTACTATATATCGCGATTAACCTACTTATTACATAACCTACTTTCAAAATGTTTGTATTTTGACCTTTCGCATTATGGTATATCTGATGTTGCAAAATAAACTCAACATTTTTATTTTTGTGTACCGAAAGATTAGTGTACTAGTACACAACAGGTAGACTTATCTCGTATATTTAATAATAGAGTTTACAATTTAAAAATTATATAGAGTTTGGGACTCGTTTTACAGCATTATGTAACCAGGACATTTTATAAAAATGTACTGAAATGTTATTTCCATATAATTTTACCTCAAATTAAACTTTTGATTATAAAAGATTACCGGGATAACATTTCGCGTGCATTTTGTTCACACCTCCTAAATAAAAAAAAGTCAACCTTACCACAATCAGATTGAACAATTATCAAACTAGTTTCAATGCATGTTTGTACTACAGTTAATATTTAGTTTAACTTGTTAGTTTAAAAAATTAATCACTAACTCTTTTCTACTTACTAAAAAATCCTGTGAATTTATATTACCGGTGCTGACAATTCATTGAGCATATTTGTCGGTTAGTGAGAAATACCGGTGCTGTGGCTTTTCATTAAATAGTTATCAAATATATTATATATTAAAAGGTAAATAGTTATTTTATTTTTACTTTTCTAAACTACGGTAATATTATTAATTTACTTAAATTTCATACTTATATTAATTAAATATATCTCTAATTAAATAATATATTTTTATTTACTGCCGGTATATAATTATTGTTATTAGTGCTAAAAAATTTATTAATCTGGTCATTTATTATTACTTTTTTAAATAATTATAGTAAATAATAAGTTTTCATATTTTCAAGACATAATTTAAGATTTCATTTAATTAAAATTATTACATGTTTATTAAATTAGCAAGGATACTGAGCTCCCATCCAACCGGAGTTGAATGCAGTTTTCAAGGACCATACATTACCTGACTGTCCACCAGTCCAGGACCAAAATGTCCAGCCCAATGAAGCTTGGTTATAGACATTGACCTCGGCTTTAGTAAAATCACCATTGCGACCAGGGTTATTAAAATGATTGCACGCTGACCATTCACCAATCAACATTTGCTTGGGATTTTTAGCATGATAATCGGCAATTTGATTTTTTCTATCCCAGTTTATATAACCAATAGCACCATCGGGGTTAGTCTGATCGGCACCTCCACCAAAGCATGAATAGTAGTGCAGGTCCATGGC